TTCAGTTTCAGTTATGCGTGATCGCTGCTTTAGATGATATTTAGTCAAGATTTGCGAAATAAAAATTCTAAGATTCGTTTCTATAAATTTATTAATAATAATTATTCATTTTTACAATAAATTAGATTCACATCAGAGGAACATGATTTTAATAGAAGTCCGTTTAAATAATATCTGTATAGTACCAATTCTCTTCTGTTTCTTAATTGATTTCACACGTCATTTTCCTCAGCATGAATTTTAACATAAAATGAAGTCCTTAAAAATCTTGTTAGTTCCGTTGTCTTGCTCGCTCTCGTTTCAACGGCGAACAGCGTTTTAAGAATCGTTCTCGGCCTCCGCATAGAAACCGGATTAACCAGCGCAGCGTTCAATTTTACTTTGCGAACTGTCTTGGTGGTAATCTTCGGTGAGCTTGATTAATGACTCACTCCCGGCCGTTTCTGCGGCGAGCCTAGCGCCGGAGATTAGTCGAAAATTAAAAATAGTTCCGACGCTACCGTATTCGACTCTTCGTTTCGTTAATGAATCCAACCATTCGGCAGCCAATGAATCATTTATTCCGACGTAATTGAGTCCGTCGGTTTTAAACGGGCTCGCGGTTATAGCAACCGCCTGATATAATAATTCAACGGCATCGCGGAAAAACCCTGGATTAGATTATCCCGTCGACGTATTCCAGTAATTTGCGAAGTTAATTTTACTGCCGGAGTCTCGACGAGAGTTTGGCAATATTTGCGTAAAATTTTTGGATTACTTTCGTCCCGGAACTTTTTAATGAAGTTTTTAAATGTTGCCTGCCTCCAAGTCCGCTTTATTATAATTCGTTTGGTTTGATGCATGTTGCCTAGTTAATAAAATTTCGAGTTATGACGGGAATTCCAGCTGCAGCGGTAGGAAAAGTGTTGAAGTAGTCGATGGTCCATATATTTCGATAAAAATTTATAGCATATTTCAGTGAAGAGAAGTGGAATAACCTTATGATTTCATCAGACGTGTATACAAAATCACAGGATTTGTGAAATAAAAATTGAACGCGTTTAGAATATCAGGAAATTTTCTATTAAAAATCCTCTTGTCTCAGCTTTTCTCTGTGCGACTCGCTACCTATAATTCAATTCTATCGATGATCAATCGAATCCTCGTTAACCCCGAATCAGCCGTGAGGCATGACCCACCGTCGCACATAAAACCACCGCGGAAACAAGCACGCATCACGCCCGAGAAAATTTCTCCCACCCTCGGCCTCTTTCACCCTTTATACCGCAACAATCGAGCATTGTTCCCTTTGTTCCGAACGTAATACACAGGAGAAGCAAAGCGATTTTTCACCGGCGGCGCTGCTTGGCGCGAGGCGACGCGACGGGGTAAATTAAAATCAACGCCGCACGTAAAACGTTTCGCAGTCCAGCTAGATTTCTCGAACGAAAACATTTGTCGCCCCGCGTGACTCGAACGCGCTGCCATGCCCGAATTCTGTCCCCGGTCGCGCGTCCGGCGCCTGTTTTTCATCCCCGATGTTAAATGGCTCGTATATATAAGTTTAGACCCGCTGCCATTTTCAATATCCACCGGTGTATCTCGAAACCCGATAATTAATGCGACCCCGATTAATTGCCGTACCGTTTCGATCCGTCGGCGACAAATCTCACGGCTGACTATGCTCGTTGTTATCACGTTTCGGCTCGTTCCATTAAAAACGTGAAGCTTCCTGTTTTGCGTTTCCACCGAGGAGAGAAATTTTCGGGCTTTTTATTGTCTTCTGTGTCAGTGGGGGCTCGTAGAAATCAGCCTGTAAATAATTATTTGCCGGATGGTTTTCAGTTCGTTGAATTTATAAACGGATTTTTGAGAAGGTATTCATTAAACGATCCTCGTTCAACCGGATGGCGAATACACACCCTTCATATGCACTCACTTAATTCACGCCATTAATATACTTAATACGCGTCCTTTATAATGCCTCGAAAAGTGCATCGAATTCATCAAACCGGACGGCACCCGCTTATTACACTTCAGCAAGTATACAAATTCAATATTACGGAGGCCCGTTTAATTAATCTGTATTACTACTCATTACGCATGGGTACGAGAACGAATCGAGTAGCTAGCGGCTGTCCAGATCGATAATTTTCACGCATAACTGATAGCCGGACTGTCAACGGCGGTTTGCAACGTTAATTAAAACGCAACAGCGGCGGGATCCGGGTGAACGCGTGGCTGTCAAGAATATTCAGCCGCTCGTTGAGTCGTTAACTCGCTTAAGTGCGTTCCTTCTCTTATGAATATGCAAACGCGTTTTAATGCCCCAGCTATTTGTTCCCGTGGCTCGCGAACGTTAAAACACCCGTGCGGTCGTGTGCGTCTGTGTGCCTCGATTAAGTTATTAATACGTGCCAGTCGATGGTGGCAGGTACATACGTGTCATCGGACGCACGCGACGCACCCCTGCGATCTGTCGATCGCAGAGATCTGGAACGGACGATTCTAATATACTATGTAATCCGACGACATTGTCTTACCCCGTTCTATCAGCCGGAACATGAAACCAAGTACATATTCAGAGTTTCATAATGTCATGTACATGAACAATTTTTGTAGAGCGAGATAGAAAACCGACAGTTCATTATGTAAATATTTAATGAATTAATTTAATCTTAAACTGTTTTAAACTCTTGTAGTAAAGTACAGATACCAAATGTTGCTGTTACAAAACGCTATACATTATTGTATAAATATATGATAATATTTGGAACGTTTAATTTGTTATTACTGATTCAACCTTAAGTTTGTTTTCCGCATTTTACTCCTGATGTATTTAAATCCTCTCGAGAAGAAGGGCATTGGACGGAGATTTTGTGAGCTACTCGTGCCTCTGTTAAGCTTTGTCTACTTTGTTAGGAGTTTAAGTCTCGGGTGTGGAGAGATAAGTTAGGCAGAGTTAAACGTAGGTCACGTAATTAATAGGTTATCTAGTTAACTAGTTCGAATAAGTATGGGTTATCTCGATAATTAGTTCGGATAACTATGGATTACCCTGGTAACTAGGATAATTGGTTTTTGTATGAATCTACGTAATCGAAAACGCTTTTAATTGATTGCTAAGAAAGAAAAACAAACACTTTACGTACGATAAAGCATTTATTCATTTCATCAGGTCTATCGTTTCATAGAAATTGAATTCATCTCACTGGATACGAGGAACATACTAATAAAATAACGTAATTAAAACTAATAAAACTAATAAAAACTAATAAAATAAAATAACGTTCAATTTCGCTTAACATCTAATCTTGTACCTGTAAGTAGCCCGAACCTTCTACATTCTTTCGTTCTCGTTTGAACGATGTGAAGAAGTGTTCCAACCGATAATTGATAGTGCATAATGACCATCGATTAATCAGTCATTCTCGCCAGTCGGTCACCTGAAATCGGTCACTGTCGTCCTTCCGTGACAAATTGACCACAGATTCCAAAGATGTCTTCTTCGTAAGAATAGAGTACGATCCACTTTAAAATTTAATATAAATTGACAAATTATTATTAGAAACAGAAATACTAAAAGGAAGAGGAAAACTTGACAACTGTGCTTCTTACACGTTGATAATCCGATGAGAAAATCGATAAAAAGAAAATTACGTAAGAAGATTGTTGAGCAGACTCGTTTAACCAAGAAATAAACAGAAAAAGATAAAAAGGCTGTGAATATCAAATCGCTGAACGTCCCTTCGAATAAGAATCGGGAGCTTACGTCGCGTCACGTTGTAACAAAGACAACGCAATTTCCGATCGGAGAGCAATCGGTAAACAAAATTCCTCCCTCTTTACTCTCATAAATAGTCAATTTTCTGATGTTTGACAAGCCACTGACACGTTTCAATATTCCCCGTTGGATACGCCACATCGGGTTTGTCAACGTGTTCAAAATGCGTCTCGCGTTCTCCCCGCGAAAGAAGATGAATGCAAAAAACTTTAGCCAGGTCGCATTACGTATCAAATCGCAGTCAATTGTCGTCTCATAATTGTTGATTGGAACATAATCCATTTTATTCACTTACTATTAATCATATTTCTGCGATACGTATGCCGGCCATCAGATTTATCATTAAATGAAATGAAAAATAACGACGGAATAAAATAGAGTACACGTATACAGACTTTTATTGAAATCATTTAAGTAAATCATAATGTACATAGGTAATGTCCTCCCACAGCGAATTCTCAATGCGTTTGGTGAAAAAAAAAACGTAGAATAATTTCCTGAGTGCAACTTGCATTTTTATGTTCAGCTGCAGCCCTTGATACAGTATTTTTTGCCCGAACGAAATTTCTTCCCTTGCCACCGGTCGTAAACTACTTTCCACGGGTTCTTGGCAAGTATTTACACAAGGGGTGGATTGCGAGGCGGCACCGACCTCGGTTAAAAATACACATAGACAGTCTAATTGTCATTAACGGAGTATCTTGGCTGGTGTAGCGTTACATTCGGCCTCTGTTTGTCCGTAGTTTAATTATTAAAGAAAATTATGCATTCGGCACGCGCGGCATAGAGAAGCCGGCAATCTTCGGGCCGACCCCGGTTAATTGCTACAATTACACTTGATTAATGCCGCTAATTAGCTTCTTTTTTATCTCGTCCTTCTTTCATTTCACTCCTACCCGGCGGTATCGCTGCCTGTTAATCAGCGCGATTACTCGAATAAATAATGAAAATTAATATTTGACATGACCCCCGTGTAATTCAACAGATTTATTTAATGTTACTTCGTAAAAGTCTAACAGGATGAATGGGAGTAACGATTAGTTTACAGAATAGCAACAGATACGATCATTTATTACCTTCTTTATGAAAAGAGAAAGTGAAAGAAATCTCTTTGTCACTGGACGGTCTATCAATATGCTACGTGGTCGTTAAACCAAACAATTCGATGTAAACTCTAGTCACGCTCACGCCTCGTCATATGATGTACCTGACTCTGGTCTCGTCTTTGTCATTACAGTGAGAATGATAGATGCGGAGGCAGTGGCAGGTGGAATTGCTCAGTTACCGTGCGACGTGGAACCGCCAGTCCCTGGGGATAAGCTACATCTAGTTATTTGGTACAAGGAGGAGACAGACGCCCCGATATACAGGTAAATTTCGCTACGGCGTTTCTTATTTTCGTTTCGTGATCTAAATCATTTTTACTGTGACACCGCGCGGCGCCAAAACACAGAAATATAAAACCGTCAAGTTGGATTACTCTGTTTGCTCATGAATTAAAATTTCACAGTTATACCTTCAATTCGTTCGTTTAAGAAATGCGTTTTAAAGCTTCATATTTCGTTAAGTAATGCGTCGCCTTTGCATACGCATTATTTATTTAACGTGCTCTTATTTAAAGTACAATTTTACAAAGTGATGGAAGATAGCTTAAACAGCTAAATAGCATGAATTTTAGTTAAGTGCATACGATTAACTTAGTTAAGTACGTACACCGTTTCATCAACCTCAAACAATAGACCGGCACTTCAATCTTCAAACAAGCCGCTTGTGCTTCAAACCAATTAAGATGCACTTGCAACAGCCCTTAATTAAAGAACCAACTTCCCATGTGTGCTGCCGTTTATTCAAAATCGATTATAGGGAACGGTATCGCGTAAAATTTAAGGATGTATTGGCTATACAATCAATCCCAAAAGTTTATGTACCTTAGAAAAACGCATTTCCTATAATTAAAAAGAAATCAGACGTCGGAAGAATAATACTAATAATAAATAGCTACGTGCTAAAAAGTATAG